CCCAAAACCCCAAAACCCCAAAACCCCAAAACCCCAAAACCCCAAAACCCCAAATTTATTTAAAGCACTTGAACGAGTATATTTGCGAAATTACCAAAATCTTATGATGACACAACTGTTTTGTACATTTCCATATTTCTTTTCAAGATTACCTCTAGAGGACCGATCATACGTTTGAAAGAAAGTCTGTCTAATTTTAAGACTACCAAGTCTGTCTTCGCGATAACACTGGCTGCTCTTGGCTCGTTTCTTAAAAGAGCAAGCTCACCAAAGTAATCTCCAGGATTGTACTTCATTACTTCTTTTTCTTCTTCAGAGCCATCAAACTTTTTCATAGCAATGGCTTCTCCTTCTGAGACCATGTAGAAGATGCTGCCAGGGTCACCTTGTTTGATAACCATGTCTCCATCCTTAAAGCTCTCTTCTTTAATTGCGTCTGCTATTTGAGATCTCTCATAAGCACTAACACTATCGAGGATGCTCACTTTCTTAAGGATCTGCTCATATTTATCCCTCTTCTTTTGAGAGCTTTCTTTTACGATGAGATTAAAAGTATCCCGGTCAAGAGAATACAATATAGACCGTGACTTGGCTCTAATAGTGGCAGCTCTTGGTGCATTATATAAAAGTGCTAATTCACCGAAAGATTCTCCATGCTCATAATCTCTAAGATAAACCTCTGTAGTTTTTGTTTCTTTGAAGCATTGTAGGAGGCCTTCTCCGACCAAAAATAACTCAGCACCATCATCCCCTTGCTTGATCACTGTGTCGCCTTCTTCGTAAATCTTCTCTTCCATTGCGTCGATAACAATGCAGAGATCTTTTTCATCAAGGTTTGCGAACATGAAGGACTCGAGTAATCTTTCTCTAATCTTATGCTTCATTTCGTCTGATTTCTCTATAACTCTAGCTATGAAGTCTTGCTTTTTATTAAAGATGCCGTATACCTCTTGACTGACAGAGTTTCTGGCAGGTCCGCTCATGCGGACCTTGGCTACTTCTGGAAGCTCATCAATATAGTCATCCTCATCATCGCTGCTAGCCTCTTCTTCTGAGACTTTGGAGTCTTCTTCCATGTCGTCTTTCTTTTTAAGATTCTGAAATTGCTTTCTTAGCTTAGCTAGCTCAACTGATTCTCTCTTGTTAAGAGGCTTGGCGCCTGAGCCAATAGAGTCTTCTAAATGCTGAATCATGTAAGGGATAGGGTCCTCGGGTTTGATGACTAAGAGTCTATTGACCAGTTTTTCAAGTATCGGACTAATAATTTTGCCAATTTCTTTTTTACTTTTCCCCATATCAATAATGCGAATTTATTTATTTATTTCAAGATTTAATATGACAATTGGGGTTTTGGGGTTTTGGGGTTTTGGGGTTTTGGGGTTTTGGGG